AGGGGCCTGTAGACATTCTTTTCAAGAGCTATGCACCAGAACAACTGGGAACTGTAATCAATACAACGCAGTCGTGATTAAAGCTGTTTATTTAACCCAAAACGATCCTTAGCTTTTCTAGACCCTGGTTTATGTTAACTTATTTAGGAATTAAATCAGTTAGCTAAAAACCATTTGTTTTATTCCTGGTCTCAGAGGACAGAGGCAGGACTGGACCATGGAAGTTTCCACGTGGGTAGTAGGAACCGGAAAGGAGAGCCCCAAGGAGTAGCGCTGAAATGCAGTAGAAAACCACAGCTGTGTGTAAAAGAATGAAACTCCACCATTCTCTTACATCATACACAAAGATGAACTTGAAATGGATAAAAGACCTCAACCTGAGGCAGGAATCCATCAGAATCCTAGAGGAGACCATAGGCAGTAACCTCTTCAACAATGGCCACAGCAACTTCTTTCATGATATGTCTCCAAAGGCAAAGGAAACAAAAGTGAAAATGAACTTTCGGGACTTCATCAAGATCAAAAGCACAGCAAAGGAAACAGTCAACAAAACAAAGAGGCAACCCACAGAATGGGAGAAGATATTCAGAAATGACACTACAGACAAAGGGCTGATATCCAAGATCTATTAAAAAACTCCTCAAACTCAACACACACAAAACAGATAATCACGTCAAAATATGGGCTGAAGACATGAACAGACACTTCTCCAATGAAGACATACAAATGACTAACAGACACATAAAAAAATGTTCATCATCACTAGCCATCAGAACCACATTGAGATACCACTTACACCAGTTAGAATGGCCAAAAATAATAAGACAGTAAACAATAAGTGTTGGAGAGAATGTGGAGAAAGGGGAACTCTCTTACACTGTTGGTGGTAATGCAAGTTAGTGCAGCCACTTTGGTAAACATTGTGGAGCTTCCTTAAGAAATTAAATATAGAGCTTCCTTATGCAATTGCACTACTGGGTATTTACTCCAAAGATACAGATGTAGTGAAAAGAAGGGCCATCTGTACCCCAATGTTTATAGCAGCAATGGCTACAGTCACCAAACTGTGGAAAGAACCAAGATGCCCTTCAACGGACAAATGGATAAAGAAGATATGGTCCATATATACTATGAGGTATTATGCCTCCATCAGAAAGGGTGAATACCCAACTTTCGTATCAACATGGTTGGGACTGGGAGAGATAATGCTGAGTGAAATAAGTCAAGCAGAGAGTCAATTATCATATGGTTTCGCTTATTTGTGGAGCATAAGGAACAACATGGAGGACATGGGGAGATGGAGTGGGGAAGTGAATTGGGGGAAATTTGATGGGGAGACAAACCATGAGAGACTGTGGACTCTGAGAAACAAACAGGTTTTTGGAGGGGAGGAGGGTGGGAGGTTAGGTGAGCCTGGTGTAGGTATTAAGCAGGGCACATATTGCATGGAGCACTGGGTGTGGTGCATAAACAATGAATTCTGGAACACTGAAAATAAATTTTAAAAAATAAATAAAAGTTAAAATAAAATATGCTTACAAATTAAAAAAAAAAGAAAAGAAAAGAAAACCACAGAATGTTCTTCATGAGCTTTCCCAAGGCATACCATGCTGACAATCTTCTCATTATCTTATTTACATTTTGCCACCGCAGGCCTCTAGATCTCTACTCTGTTCATCAGAGAGGAAACCTTACCAGGAAACATACTAGTGGTGTTCACAGAAAAACAATGCCTGGCTGGCCAGCAGAATAATCTGTGAAGAAAGACATACTGCTGTAGTCATGACCCAGGATCCAAACAAAAAGATGAGGACCTGAACAGTCCCTGGCAATGTCCACAGTTCTTAGTTGGCTAATTAGAAAAGGAATTTTTTTCTGCAATTATATTTGTATGTTATTCCTTTGTGTGACATAACCAAAAAACAATAATAACCTATTGTCAGAAGGGTGTTTTGAGTCATTCATTGAGCAATTCCTGGTTGCTTCATCTTTTGTTCCTGGGAAACATGACAAGTCCTTCTACCTACAGTACTTACACAAGAGGGTAAGCATGAGTCCAAGTTGAAGAGGTAAAGCCTGAGATGAAATTGAAGTCTTCACTGGAAAACACTTCAAGGTGGATTGGTGTGCAGGAAATGGAGGAGGGTTTTCTGAGTTGTGGAAGCTATGTTTCTGTCACCTCCCTCATTGCTAGGGCAGACCTAAGCTGCTACTGTTCTATAACAATGAAAGAAAATCTGAGAAAGTGAGTATAGAAGGGGTTTTTCAGGGAGAGAAAAATCAAGTGGTTTCCAAATAATCTCCTTTTCCAAATAACCCAACCCCTCATATTCCTCTCTTCCTGTCCCATATCTCCTTCCATAGAATTAAGTTTGTTCCTTTACATTTCTAGAAAATCCCATATATGCCAAAGGCTTTGTATCTCCATGGGTCAGTTAGATAGGGTTGTAATGAAGTATTATCTCCTAGGCATCATGGGGTGAATTAGGAGAATTGGTAAAGGATTTTTTCTTTCAGAAACTCGGAAAATCACTCAAATATACTATTGGAAATGCTGACAATTTAATTCTGCTTTTTTTTTTTTTCAAGTTTAGGAGTATGACCTGCTCTTCACAGTGGGCCTTCTCTCTGAATGTCCTCAGTTCCATGACAAAGCATTGACCAGAACTTGGCTCTTAGCTATACCTGCAGGCAATTTTTACTGTCACCCTGTGTTGGTCAGGGCTCAACACCATCCCCAGTCACCATAACAAATCCTTCATTCCAAAGCACTAGCAGAACACATGTGTTACTGGAGATTTATAGGGAGATTCATTAAAGAAGTTCACAGTGCATAGCCTACACCATTTAAAAAAATACATCATTTCTTATTTCTGTGTCATTTCTTATTTCCTTGAAAGCTGGGCAGACAGCTGATTTCCTTGATCTCACCCGTGCCCTATATATGTGTTACTCTAGGAGAATGACAACCCTTTTAGGGCACATGACTCCTGAAGTTATCCTACCCAGCAGCATGCTTTGAGGTCAGACTGACAGTGTAACTACTAAGAACCTTCCCCCTTATCTTTCTTTAGTCACGTGTTTATTGTCTGTAAATTCTATTCCATTCTTCTCAACCTACTGTCTTAAAGAGAGCATATGGAACAAAAGGAAATTTGTGCTAAGGATCCACTTTGACCATAGATTTTAATACCATACCATGATGATGAAGACTTCAAGAAGAATACATACATGGGGCTGTACACCTCCAAACTAAGGGACTCAAAGTGGTAAGTTTTTATGTTAAATATGTCTGCTTTTTATTGCTTGTTTTTTTTTCCTTCCCACTGTCATCCCTTGCTGCTCAGTCTCATGTTCATCTCTAGACATATTTTCATCCCTTCCTTCTCATCTACTATTGATAGCTTGTGAACTGGTCAAACCCATTAGAATTGTGTGTAATATAACTACATAACTGATCTTGAATCAGGGTTCAAATGGGACATTCTTCTGAATAGTACATATTGGCCTTATTTTGAGTATATTGTTTCAGCAGACTTTTACATAAAGTATTTATGTCTCTACTTATTACTTTATGTATTTTATTTTAAATGCCATTATGGGACTTTTTCCACAGATAAAATTTAATTAATCAAATGTTTTAATTCTTGAATATTATATAGTCTTTAGTGACTAAATGCAGATTTCTTAATGTGTAAAAGCAGAGTCAAAGACATCCTGGGAATGATTCAGTTAATAGGGTTCTATCTTTCCCTATTACAAATAAGCCTGCAAGGTACATCACTACACAGGTACTTATTCTAAGAACTTTTGTCCAGTAGAAAAGTACAAGTAGGATTGCAAGCATATATATATTCTTCAACTTCAATTTTTCTTAAAAGTAATTTTAATAATGTATATTTTATTAAAAATGAGAATTATGGAAAATTATTAGTCATTGATTCCTCAAATATTGCCTCTCTTTTTTTTTTTTATTTTACTGTTTGCTCCTAGACTTCTTATTAGATATGTTCTGGAATATTCTCATTTTATCTTCTGAGTTTTTAAATGTCTTACATATTTTTAATCTTTTTATTATCCCCAGATTTAAATTCCATTACACTAATTGTCCCTTCAGTTTAACTTAATAAGTTGTACAATTCATTAAAAAAATACTATTATACTTTTCATTTCTAAAATTCCTATGTAGTTATGTAAAAAAAAAAATTCTTGTTTTCATAGAGTCTTGTTCTTTCCTTATAATTTCCATCAATTCCTACTATACTGTTTCATGTCATTACTTAAACATGGTTTTGGGTTCTTCTCTTTATAATCTTCGTGTTTGTTGCTTCTGTTGACTCTCCCAGGTGGTGTTTTTGGTTTTCTACTCTGAACTAGATACGTGTATGGATTTTCCCACATTGTGGAAGGGTCACTCCAGAGTATTTTTTTTGAATTTGAGGTAAAATTGGTGTAATATAAAATTAACTCATTTAAAGTGAATAACTTGGTGACATTTAGTACACTCACAATATTGTGCAACTGCCACTTCTATCTAGTTTCAAAATATTTTGATCATCCCAAGACAAGCCCCCATACCATTCAGCAGCTGCTCCCCACTCCTCATCACCACACATAGCCCCTTTCAACCAATCTGCATTTGTCTCTATATTGTCACCTCTTCTGGATATTTCATGTACATGGAATCACACACCTTGTGATCTTTTTGTGTGGTTTCTTTCACTCATCATGTTTTCAAGGATTATCTGCATTGTAGCATATATCAATACTTCATTTTTTAAAAAAAGATTTTACTTATTTATTTATTTATTTGAGAGAGAGAATGAATAGGTGGAGGGGCAGAGGGAGAGAGAATCTGAAGCAGACTCCATACTGAACACGGAACACAATGTGAGGCTCAGTCTCACAAGGCTCAATCTCATGACCCTGAGATCACGACCTAAGGTACAACAAAGAGTCTGATGCTTAACTAACTGAATCATTCAGGTGCCCCAATACTTCATTTTTTATGTCTAAATAATATTCCAACTCCAAAAATAATTTCACATTTGTCTCTTCTTGTTGCCACAGGGTTATTAATAGTTTAGTTTCATTTTTGGTTTGTGTCAGTTTCATGCCCCAGTGTAGCAAGAGCAAAAAGAGAACAAAACAGAAATACCAGAATCAAGAAGGGAAGCTCTGGCCATTTCTTCTTTTCTGCTGTAGACTCAAGTGGCTGTGTCCCCAAGTTCATGAAACCTGGAAAGGTGGTGCTGGTCCTGGCCTGATGCTACTCTGGATGCAAAGTGGCCATCGTGAAGAACGTTGATGATGGTACCTCAGACCATTCCTCCAGCTGGCTAGGAGAAAATCACCAAGAGGTCAAAGATTAAGTCTTTTGTGGGCGCCTGGGTGGTTCAGTGAGTTAAGCCGCTGCCTTCAGCTCAGGTCATGATCCCAGGGTCCTGGGATCGAGTCCCGCATCGGGCTCTCTGCTCAGCAGGGAGCCTGCTTCCCTTCCTCTCTCTCTGCCTGCCTCTCTGCCTACTTGTGATCTCTGTCTGTCAAATAAATAAATAAAATCTTTAAAAAAAAAAAAAAAGATTAAGTCTTTTGTGAAAGTTTGTAACTACAATCACCTCATGCCCATGAGATACTCTGTGGATATCCCCTTGGACAAAACTATCATCAACAGGATGTCTTCAAAGACCCTGTTCTTAAATGCAAGGCCCAACAAGAGGCCAAGGTCAAGTTCAAGGAGAGATACAAGACTGGCAAAAACAAATGGTTTTCCAGAAGCTGCAGTTATAGATCTGTTTTGTTTTGGTCACTAAAAATAAATAAATAAGAGAAAGAGAGAGACAGAGAGAAGAAGCAACAGCAGCAGCCCTGTCCTGCTGCAATATCCCTTCAAAAAGAAAAAAAGCTTAGAGTCTAGCCCATTAAAGCAGAACGGGTAATGAAAGCATGAACTGTAAATAGGACACTAACGTGATACCTGCCACAAACTGAGAGTGACTGCTCTCTGTTAGGGAGAAACTTGTATAAGGAGAAAATATTTTAATTATGAGTTAAAAGATTAGGGGTAGCTAGTCTTCCATATCGCCTGGACTTAATGATCATACAGATGGCTTCAATGTGTCGCTTTATATGGTATTGAAAACCCAGCATTAGTTTGAATGTGATTTTAGCTGTTTTATGATCTGGGAATATCTGTTGTATACAAAAGCTAATAATGCAGCATTTCAAGTTCATCAAGGATTGCTCAAGATATTTGCTAGTTTCTCATTCCCTTTCTGTACCATTAGAGCCAATGATGAAATACAAAACTGTACTTGTTTTGAAACTGGTGAAGCCATAGAAGTTATTGCTTTTCTTGGCCACTCATACTCCATAGGATGTAGCTGATGATTCTGCATTTTAGTCTACATACTATTCTATTCAATTTCTACATGTAAGCCCCTACTGTAATCAAAAGTTACTATTTCTCCATGTTTCAGTTTGTACCCAACAAAGGTATTTACAACAGAAAATAAAACCAGCCATTGTACACTCTCCTCCTCCTCCTCCTCCCTCTTGTTGTTGTTGTTGTTGTTGTTGTTGTTGTTGTTGTTCTTCTTCTTCTTCTTCTTCTTCTTCTTCTTCTTCTTCTTCCTTCTTCTTCCTTCTTCTTCCTTCTTCTTTTTTCTTTCCCCTGTTTTTCTTTTAACTCAGATGGTCTCCTGAAGCTCATAGCAAATATATCGCCTATGCTTGTCATATTGGAACCTCAACATTGGTCAAAAAACCCCATGGTTCAGTCCCAGACATGGTATTACATACACCCTATAAGTTCTTCAGATGATTCTATTCTCATTTCTCTGCTGTGCCCTTTTAGTATTCCTAATAGATGTATATTTGAGTTTCTCCATGAATCATGTGTCTCTTAATTTTTTAATATTCATCAACTCTTCATCTCTTCATTCTGATTTCTCAGTGATATCTTCAACCCCATCTACTCCTTCACTCTTTTGTTTGTCATCTGGGTCCTTTCATAGATGTAGCTCTTCTATTGAGTATATTTCAACAATAAATTTTGTTTTCAAGATTATGATCAGGTCTTTTAGATTGTTTTGCCTATTTTATGCCCTATTCCTTTATCTCCTCAGGAATAATAAATATAATCATTTTTAAAGTTTTTTTTAGGGGGAATGAGATTATTTTCCATTTGTTTGTTTTTATAAATTCTTCTATTTGGACTATTTCCTCAGATACAAATAATTTTTTCATCTTTCTCTAACACTTGATAAATTTCACATATGAACTCCTTTTTTGGAATGAGATGGCTTCCTGATGAGGCAATTTCAGAATGGCTGAACCCTCTTCACTGCAGCAGGCCTGGCTACAAGCTGGCATTCTTGCTGATGCCTCCTTTAGGCTTCTGGGCCCCTCCAGGTAGTATGGTTATTTTGCAAGTCTCTACCATTTAACTAAGAATGTGAAAGGTAAACTAGTGTAAATCTTTATTTGACTCCTTCAAATACTAACACACCATCATATCTTAAGATTATTGGTGAAAATAGGTGTTTTCTGTAACCTGAGGGATACTAAAGAGAAATGGAGGAATGCATTCCCCATTCATATCTATTGAACAGAGTATACAAAAAAGGGAAAATGGAAACTAAATCTTTTGTCCATAAACTATATAACTGACTACTGTATCACAAATAATCCATAATTTCTTCAGCAGGAGGCTAAGATCTAAAGTCCAAAATGATTGCGCTTCTTTTTTCTCCCATTAGTTTTCTACAAAAAAAGTAGAATGGAGCTAAAATAGAGCTTTGTTAAAATATAATGTTGACTCACTTGTAAGAAATATTGGATCCTAGGACAAAAATAATATTTTTTGAAGTCAGATGTGTGGAGGTGCTCTATCACAATAGGCATATGGAAAAATTAGAGTGCTTTGGCCAGGTTCAATATAAGATTCTCTTACCGCATTTGTTTTTAACTGAACCCTTACTTGGGAATAGTTGTTGATGCAAAAAAACAAAAAACAATACAAAAGACTGCTGAGAAAACTCAAGTGCCTGAGTAGATATTTCTAAACCATAACTTTGGTATTTTAATGTTCAACACAGAATTAGAAGCCCCATATATCTGCTGAAATGTATTTTTCAACAGAAATAGGTGATTATTAATAAGAGCTAACTCAGTAAACATATTTTAATCTCACTAAACAGGTTTATTTTAGTACTACCAAATTTTACCTTTACCACAACCAAGATATCAGATCACCATGGATTTTGAATTTTTAAAAATTTTTGTTTATTTTACTTTACAATGTAATTATTATACATATACGTACAGTATTATGTAATATACAGTATTATATTACATACAGTATTATAATAGTTTCAGGTGTACAATATAATGATTCAACAAACGTATGCATTACTTGGTGCTCATCATGATAAGTGTTCTCTTAGTCCCCTTCACCTATTCCACATCCCCTCTGGCAACTACAAGTTTGTTCTGGTGTGGTTAAGATTCTGCTTTTTCATTTGTCTCTTTATTTCTTTGTTTATTTTGTTTCTTAAATTCCACATATGAGTAGATCATACAGTATTTGTCTTTCTCTGACTGCCTTATTTCACTTAATTATTATTATATCCTCTAGATCCATCCATGTTGTTGCAAATGGCAAGATTTCATTCTTTTTGTGGCCAAGTAATATTCCATTATATATGGCACATCTTCTCTATCCATTCATCCGTTAATGGACACTTGGGTTGCTTCCATATCTTGGCTACTGTAAATAATATGCAATAAATAGCAGGGTGTATATCTTTTCAAATTAGTATATTTTGTTTTCTTTGGGTAAAATACCCAGTAGTAGAATTTCTGGATCATATGGTGATACTATTTTTAATATTTGAGGAATATCCATACTGCTTTTTACCATAGTTGCACCAGTTCACATTCCCACCACCAGTGCACAGGGAATCCTTTTTCTCCACATCTTCTTTTTTTTATTATAGCCATTCTGACAGGTGTGAGGTGATACCTCATTGTAATTTTGATTTGCTTTTCCCTGATGGTGAGTGATATTAAGCATCTTTTCATGTATTTATTGGCCATCTGTATGTCTTCTTTGGAAAAATGCTTGTTCATGTCTTCTGCTCATTCTTAATTGGATTATTTGGGGGGTTTTTTGGTGTTCAGTTGTATAAGTTTTTTATATATAATTTGGCTATTAGCCCCTTATTGGATATATCATTTGCAAATATCTTCTCCCATTCAGTGGGTTATCTTGTTGTTTTGTTGATGGTTTCCTTCTCTGTGCAAAGCTTTTTATTTTGATGTACAGAGTCAATCATTCAATTTTGCTTTTGTTTTCCTTGCCAAAGGAGAAATATTTAGAAAAATGTTTTTATAGCTGATTTCAAGATTAGTGCCTGTATTTTCCTCTAGGAATTTTATGGTTTTAAATGTCACATTTAGGTGCTTAATCCATCTTGAGTTTATTTTTGTGTACTGGATAAGAAAGGAGTCTAGTTGCATTCTTTTGCATATAGCTGTCCAGTTTTATCAATATCATTTGTTAAAAAGACTTCCTCCCATTGTATATACTTGCCTCTTTTGTCATAGATTAATTGACCATATAATAGTGGGTTTCTTTCTGGCTCTCTAATCTGTTCTATTTATCTGTCTGTTTTTGTGCCCACACCATACTGTTTTGATTACTATAGCTTACATTATTCTATCTTAATTTGGAGGTTGCTTATTTGAACCCATTCTAAAATCACTGAATTTTTACCCCAGTTCTCCCCACATTTTAGGCACATGGTGTCCTACTTTACATCCTTGTGTTTTGTGAATCCCTTGGCTGATTGTTACAGATATATTTAATTTTATTGCTTTTGTGCTTTAACTTCCATACTGGTTTTATAAGCAATTAATCTACTATTTTTATTATGTTTGTATGTACCTGTGAAATATTTTTCTTTCTTACTTTTATTTCTCTTTATGATATTTCCTTTCCACTCAAAGAATCCCCTTTAATTTAAGGGTGTGTTAGTGGTGATGAATTCCTTTAATTTTTGTTTGTCTGGGAAACTCTTAATCTCCACTTCTTTCTGAATGATAGCCTTGCCAAAAAGGATAATTTTGGTTACACATTTTTACCATTTAGCACTTTGACTATATCATGCCTCTTCTTTCAGGCCTGCAAAGTTTTTGCTGAAAAATCAGCTGATAGCCTCATAGGGTTTCCATTGTATGTTACTGGGGGAGGGTCCCACATTGCATCTCCACTTCCTCATATCAGGGAGTTCATATGATAGTTGTCTTTCTCCGATTGACTTATTTCACCAAGCATAATACCCTTTAGTTCCATCCATGTCATTGCAAATGGCAAGATTTCATTTCTTTTGATGGCTGCATGGTATTCCATTTATATATATATATACCACCTCTTCTTTATCCATTCATCTGTTGATGGACATCTAGGTTCTTTCCATAGTTTGGCTATTGTGGACATTGCTGCTATAAACATTCGGGTGCATGTGCCCCTTTGGAGCACCACGTTTGTATCTTTAGGATATATACCTGTTGGAGGCCACGGCACAGTTGGAGTTGTGGATCAAACCAGGCCCTGACTTGTGTCTCCTTCAAAGTCTGGACACCTTGACAAGGGGTTAAGGACGGGAAAGTTGAGTAACACTGAGAAAAGGGGTCTGTGCTATGTGTCGTGCACTCGCCTACGTGACTTCCCACACACTCTCCCTACAGAAGGGAACAATGTGGTCAGGGTCATGAATTCTTAGTTGGTCCTTGTTGTTCCTGTACCTCCCATAACCCACTTCCTAGTTGATTGTCTTGCTAATGGCTTTAGCTGAGACTACCTGGCATCACGAGGTTTGCTTGTAGTTAATGTAAACTTGTTATAGAAACTTGCAGTCATCTGACTAGGTACGGATGTATTACTCCTTCTATTGTGGTCTGCCTTATAAATGATTGTAAGATGTGGAGTAAAATTGGCACTATTGGACATCCTCCTCAGTGTCCCCCATCTCTTTGTCTCTTAATTTCTTTTCACCATCCTCTTACCCTCATGTTTTCCTGGTCGATTTGTCGCGTTGGCTGTGACATATACCCAGTAGTGCAATCTCTCGGTCATATGGTAGCTCTATTTTCAGTTTTTTGAGGAACCTCCACACTGTTTTCCAGAGTGGTTGCACCAGCTTGCATTCCCACCAACAGTGTAGGAGGGTTTGAGAGGGAGAGAATCTTAAGTAGACTCCACACCCAGCACAGAGTCCAATGTGGGTTTTGATCTGACAACCCTGAGATAATGACCTGAGCCAAAATCAAGTGATGGATGCTTAACAGATTGAGCCACCCAGGCACCCCCATTCTCTTGCTACTTTAAAATTTAGTAGTACGTTACGATGAGTATATGAAGATCAGATAGAGCTTTGTCTCTGCATCTGGACGTACGCGTCTGGTTTGGAACAGATCCACTTCCTCTCTGTGTAATGCCTAGCACTGCTGGCACCTTTGTCATTCAAATAGGCACATTCTCCTCCTCCTCTGATAGGAAAACTGCAATGGAAGAAGCAAAGTCAATCAGCTGGCCACCAGATATTTCTCCAAAAGCAGAGAGAATAAAGATAAGAAAACAAGGAAACTGACATTAAATCAGCCTCTAAATGTAAGATACATTATACATGTCATCTTTTAATACTAAAAATTACCCTCTGAGATCTATATCATTTCTTTTCATGGACAAAAACAACATCAACCAAACCAAAACAACAGAATTTACCAAGATTCTTATAACAAGTAAAACTAAGATTCATACCTAAATCAATGAAAATATAGGGCCCATTCTATTCTCACCTTCTTCACTTTGAGAAAGAAAAGAGGGAAGAAATGCTGTTATATTGCAGGTGATTTTTGTTGTTGCTGCTATTCTTGGGACTTTATTTTCTCTTGTGGTGTTCATCAGCATTTAAATGGCCTGCCACGGACATCTCAGTCAGCATTTAGACTATAAGTTTTTCCTCTGTACTGTGTGAAATTGTTATCATGTGACCTGATTTGCCTATGGTTGAGACATGCTAGCCCTTAATAAAATATATTTTTCATTTCTGTGTGATGAATAATTTTCAGCAACTGAATAGTTAACAATATATTTGCTCCTTTAAACACTTAGAGAATTAGGTGAAGTGAATATTATTATTTCAGTATTGCTGAGGAAGAAGTAAAGGTTAAAACGAAATATTTAACAAGTTTCCACAATGTGCTAGGCACTACACATACAACAGTGTATAAACATAAGTTCTAACTCTTAAAACTTAGTATCTGTCTAAGATCAAAAAGCTAGTAAGTAAGAACTAGTTTTCAAAACTATGAATGTCCTACCTAGTGCCCTTTTCACCAAGAAAAGTGATATTTCCGATGCTGAAGACTTTTTCATAACCTCATAAAGCAACTTTTCAAAACTTCCTCATGTGCTCAGACAAGAAAACATTTAGCACAACTGTCTGAATCCAAGTCTTCCAGCATTATCTGAAATTTTCCCAGTAATATAAAGACCCTATAGATAGAAGATTGAGATTAAATTTGACAATGCCAAACTATACTTGTGCTGACCATTATATTTATGATCTTATAACGGATGCCATTACCATCACTCATCCCTATATAAATGGTTGAACACTGATGCAGTGATAGTTTAATATAATTTAACTTGCATTTATATAAGATTTTAAAGTTTAAGTAGTGCAGCCATATACATCAAAATCTCTGATTCTCACATCAACCCTGTGAGATCAATAGAGCAAGTACAATTAATTTTGTTGTAGAGGTAAGACACACACTAAAGATAGTGTGTAGTTTGCTCAACGTGAAAGAGTTGGTCAATGACACACAGGAGGCTGTTTTTAAGTTCATCATTCTACCATGCCACATGGTATTGGTTGGAGGAGGTTTCAAAACTTCTACCGCCTACAATTTTTCACTTTATTTCTTTATAACTAATCCTAAAATAAAAATTCTTAAGGGATATAACTGGAGAACACATTTGATTTCATGCAAAGTAAATTCAAATACAAATAGTGCTATCATATCTTTCAGAACTTACCAGTTGCTCCATGCAGTACCATTTATCAATTTCCATGGTTGGCCTAGTTCTCTGCTGATCCCAATCCAGTGGTCATAAGGGCCTTTATACCTCAGTAGGAAATTCTTTTAGAAAACAAAGATGATATGCATTAACCTGTCATTATCTGACCTCTCCCAGAAGAAGTGTTGCTTCTATGCTATGTTCTTTTTTTTTTTAATATTTTATGTATTTATTTGACAGAGTGAGACACGACAAGCAAGGGGTAGAGGTAGAGGGAGAGAGAGAAGCAGACTCCCTGCTGAGCAGGGAGCCTGATGTGAGGCTCAATTCCGGGACCTCAAGATTATGACCTGGGCCACCCAGGAGCACCTGTATGCTATATTCTTAACTGCTCTTATGATTTCCTCCTTTTTAACTGTATATTGTTTTATAATACATAGAGACTAGATATGCTACAGCAACATACACACACAAATATTAAAACTAAGAGAAATTGCTGATAATTTGTTCACTTTTAATTCAGTGTAGTGCTACTTTGTATTAATAATCCACAATTTGTTTATCTATTCTATTATTGGTTTCCACCAGGATTATTTCAAGTTTGAAGTTATTATGAATGTTGTAATGACATTCTTGGCACCTGTCAGGCCACAGTGGAGACTTACTGTCAATTTTACTAAATGACACCAAACTCTTTTTTGATGTCATTGTAAGAAATTACACTCACACCAGCATTATAGGCCTGTTTTCCATGCTATACATCCTTGTTAACACTTAGAGTATTTTTTTATTATTACAAGTATTAATTTCACTATAATTAAATGTATGATTTTCCCTTATGATTAGTGGATTAGTGATTTAATGACTTCAGGAAAATTTTTACTCTTTTGAAGTCATAAACGTATTTATTTTTCTTTTCCTTGAGGTATACAGTTGGGATACTGACTTTTGATATTTTTTTTTTCTTTAAGGTATGCATTTACAGCTCTGAATTTCCTTCTTATATTGCTTCTACCACATATCATGAATTTTGGTATGTTGTGTTTTCATTTGTCTCAAGGTATCTTCTAATTTCCCTTGTGATTTCTTTTTTGTTCACTGGATATTTAACAGTGGGTTGTTTAATTTCAACATATTTGTGCATTTTCCAGTTTTCTTTCTGTTGTTGATTTCTAGTTTCATTCCATTGTGACTGCAAAAAGAACTTTATGTGATTTCAATCTTTTCAAATTTACTAACTTGTTTTGTGGCCTATCATATTATCTATCCCAAAGAAACATTCCATGTGCACTTGAGAAGAATATGTGTTCTGTTGTTGGGAGGAGTTTTCTGCATGTCTTCTACATCTAATTGGTTTGCAGAACTGTTCAACACTTCTATTTCCTCACTATTCTTCTCTTTGGTTGTTTTACCCATTATTGAAAGTAGAATCATGAAGTCTTCAGCTATTATAATAGAACTATTTCTCATTTCACTTCTGTCAATTGTTCCTTCATATATTTGGGGACTGTGTTATTAGGGTACCACATGTTTATAATTGTTAGATCTTACTGTATCAAAATTGTATCAAGATACAATATCCTTCTTTGTGTCATAAATTTTTTTGCTTTTGTCTATTTCATCCAACAAGAATATAGTCACGCAGCTCTATTTTGGTAAATATTTGCATGCAGTATCTTTTTCCATCCTTTCACTTTAATCTTCCTTGTGTTTTTATATCTATGGTGAGTCTCTGAGAGAGAACATACAGATGGATCTCATTTTGTTTTCATCCAACTGCCAGTCTCCACCTTTTAATCAGGTAGTTTCATCCATTTACATTTAATGTGATTGCCCATAAAGAAGAACTTGCTTCTACCATTTATCTTCTTTTTTTTGAGTAGGTTCCACTCCCAGTGAGGAATCCATATTTATTTTTTATACCTCTTATATGTTCTTTATTCTCTAATTCCTCTATTATTGCATTTTTTATTGAGTTGAGCTTTTGTAAGTGCCATTTTTATTCCCTCTTTCTTTTTCTGTATGGATTATAGTAATTTTATTAGTGGTTACCTTGGGGGTTGCAATTAAAGTTAAACTTATAACAATCTAGTTTATAATATGAACTTTTTTTTTTAAGATTTTTATTTATTTATTTGACAGACCACAAGTAGGTAGAGAGGCAGGCAGAGAGAGAGAGAGGAGGAAGCAGGCTCCCCACTGAGCAGAGAGCCTGATGGGGAGCTCGATCCCAGGACCCTGGGATCATGACCTGAGCCGAAGGCAGAGGCCCTAACCCACTGAGCCACCCAGGCGCCCCTGAACTTGGTTTTAATACTATATAAATATTTTGCCCCTATACATCTCCAACCTTGTCTTTATATTATTGTCATAGATTATATATGTATACATTGTATGCACATTAACATAGATCTATAATATTGTATTATGAATTCATCTTGTAAATCTTTTCTGAAAAAAGAGAAGTTACAAACTAAACCAAGAGTATAGTAATACTGGCTTTTATAATTTATCTGTGTGGTTACCTTTATGAGTGTTCTTTATTATTTTGGCTCCGAGTTACTATCTAATGTACTTTAATTTCAGACTTTATAGTTGCTTAAGGATAGGTCTACTGCTAAGAACATCCCTTAGCTGTTGTTTGTCTAGAAGTGTTTTAATTTTTCCCCATTCTGAAAGACAGTTTCAACAGATACAAAATTTTTTTTTAAGATTTTATTTATTTATTTGACATAGAGAGATCACAAGTAGGCAGAGAGGCAGGCAAAGTGAGAGGGGGGAAGCAGGCTCGCCATTGAGCAGAGAGCCCAATGCAGGACACGATCCCAGGACCCTGGGATCATGACCCGAGCTGAAGGCAGAGGCTTTACCCACTGAGCCACCCAGGTGCCCCCAAAATTATTTTTTTCAAGATTTTATTTATTTGTCAGGGAGATGGAGCATAAGCAGGGGGAGAAGCAGGTGGAGAGAGAAGCAGACTCCCTTCTGAGCAAGGAGCCCAGTGTGGGACTCAATCCCAGGATCCAGGGATCACAACCTGAGCCACAGGCAGACGCTTAACCAACTGAGCCAACCAGGTGTCCCAATAGATACAGAATTATTGATCAGCAGGGTTTTTTGCAGAATTTTTTAAAAAGATTTTATTTATTTATTTGACAGAGAGACAGATCGCAAGTAGGCAGAGAGCCAGGAAGAAAGAGAGGGGGAAGCAGGCTCCCTGCCAAGCAGAGAGCCCGATGCAGCGCTTGATCCCAGGACCCTGAAACCATGACCTGAGCTGAAGGCAGAGGCTTATCCTGCTAAGCCACCCAGGTGCCCACAGAATTTTTTTTAAAGATTTTATTTATTCATTTGACAGAGACCACAAGTAGGCAGAGAGGCAGGCAGAGAGAGAGGAAGGGAAACAGGCTCCCTGCTGAGCAGAGAGCCCGATACAGGGCTCCATCCCAGGACCCTGGGATCATGCCCTGAGCTGAAGGCAGAGGCTTTAACCCACTGAGCCACCCCAGGTGCCCCCCAGAATTTTTAAAATATGTAATTCCACTGCTTTCTGGCTTCTATAGTATCTCAGGACAAATCAACTGTTAATCTTACTAAGGCTCCCAGGTACCTGACTAGTCCATCCTCTTGCTGCTTTCAAATTTATCTCTTTGGGTTTTGACTATTTGACTCTCATTTGTCTTCGTGGGGATTTTTGAATTTATCTTGCTTAGGAATTTGTTGAGACTCTTGGACATGTATATTCATCTCCTTCCTCAACTTTGGGAAGCTTTGGGCCATTATTTCTTTACATATTTCTCCTACTTCTTTTTCTCTTTTCTTTCTGAGATCCCTACAATGCATTTATTGATTTGCTTGATGACACTACAGTTCCTTCGGGATCTGTTCATTTATCTTTGGTTTCTTTTCTTTTCTTTCTATTCCCAAACAGGATACATTCAATTGTCTTATCTTCAAGTTTGCTGATCCTTTCTTCTTCCTGTTCAAATATGCTTTTGACTCCTCTAGTGAGTTTTTCATTTCAATCATTGTACTTTTAGCTCCAGAATTTCTATTTCATTCCTTTAATAATGTCTACCTTTTTATTGATATTCTCATTTTATTTATATACCATTTTCCTGATTTCTTTTACTTTTTCTGTCTATGGTTTTCTTTAGTTCATTGACCATATTTAGGACAGTAGATTTTATGTCTTTGACTAATATTTCCAATGACTGGGCTCCTTTGGGGATGGTTTCTGTCAGATATATCTCTGTCAGATATATCTCTGACAGATATTTCTGTCAGATATATCTCCCTGTGAATAGGCTATGCCTTTCTATTCATCTTTATGCTTTGCAATTTCTTTGTTCAGAACCAGATATAATGAGTATTTTATTGTGTTAACTCTGGGAATATAATTATTTTCTTCAAAGATTGTTGAATTTTGATTATTGAGATTTGGAGCCATATGTTTGTGACTTTTCTAATAATTTTTGCAAAAAATGTATTCCCAACTCTGTGTGGTCACTGAAATTTTTATTCTGTTATTTCTAAAGTCAGCCAGTTACCAGCCAAAGATTTTCTTAAATGCCTGGCTCCCAAAAGGGGGAAAAAAACAAGTACAGTTTCTGTAAATCCCTTGGAAATCACTTTAGTTGGAAGGAGTTGAAGAAAAAATGGCAGCTCATCTCTGTATCTTCCCCTCAACAATGAAAAGCAGCACTCAGGGTGCCTGGGTGGCTCAGTGGGTTAAAGCCTCTGCCTTCGGCTCGGGTCATGTTCCAGGGTCCTGGAATCGAGTCCCACGTCAGGGTCTCTGCTCGGCGGGGAGCCTGCTTCCTCCTCTCTCTCTCTCTCTCTCTCTCTCGCTCTCTCTCTCCCTCTCTACTTGTGATCTCTGTCAAATAAATAAATAAATAAAATCTTAAAAAAAATGAAAAGCAGCACTCAAAAATCACAACACATAACCACAATATTTGAAGAACAATGCTCTTATTGGCCATCCTGGTTCCAGCAAGTTTTACCAGGAACATGGCCAGAAGTATCCATGGCTCCCAGACATGATGAGGTGTGGGGAATGGTAGCCACTGAGTGGGAAAGTTGAAACTCATTGGGATTTAGTGAAATTTACTAACCTCTTCATTAAATTATCCCTTGGATGCTACAAGACTCCAGAGTTCCAAAATAGTTACTTGAAGAAGTTTCTGCTAGCTCAATAGTTGTACAGAGTTAGGTACAGGTTCCAGGAGCTACTGCTGCTTTTCATTGCTGAGGGGAAGATACAGAGATGGGCTGCCATTTTTTCTTCAACTCCTACCAACTGAAGTGATTTCCAAGGGATTTACAGAAACAGTACTTGTTTGGAGGGGCCATTTTATTTTAATTCTAGGTAAAACTATTTTCTTACCAGTTCCTGGATGGTTTCAACTTGAACAAGATCAGCACCGCGTGAGTCACAAAACCTCTGGCTGAATGTCCAATTCTTGAAGTCATCAGAAAAATAGAAACACTTTCTTTGGAAACCAATCCAGCTTTCTGGGCATGCAGCTTCAAGACACTCTGATGACATCCGATGCAATTTTCTACCGGTTACTAAAAATAAAAACAACTTGCTTTTATATTTTCCTATATATATTATCAAGTGCTTTTTAATACACTTTTCAATGGTCATGTGAAATACTAAATGTATTGTCCTTCTTTTTCAAATGAGGAATAGAATTCTGAAAGTCATTGCATACACTACATAATAAATGTCAAAGCTAAGGTTCAACTAATGTCTTAGTTAGTGCGTTGATTGAAAAAGAATTAATAATGCCTTAAACTCTGGACTACTGTTACCTTTCCTTAATGCTGGGTAATCAATAGCAACATTTTATCAGCCTTAGAGAACAGATAGTTCAAGAGCTCTAGATTCTTTCCTTATTTGTGAATAAGGTTTTTTGAGATGAAATCACCAGATATATGTCTAAATAGTCCTATGAGGATAAAGTCAGTGATATCATAGGGAATAATGGAAAATAACAGCCCCCCAGTCCTATTCATAAGTGACAGGATTATTGAAAGGCCAGAGAGGTCTATATTTTGTAAGGTCCTCTCTTCTTTCTAATATCATCTCAGCCTCTGTCCTCACTAACATATTGTTTAAAATTACTGAATTCTTGGCCAATATTCAAACATAAACACAATTTCATAAATCATACACACTCAGCTTATACAGCTCTATTTTGATGTGTTCTCCATAAGGATCTGCACACAATACCTTTGAAGTAATTTTTGTTGAAAATGTAATTTCAATTATATTGTACACCTGAAACTAATATAATCTTATATGTCAATTATAGCTCATTTTTCACATATCCTTAATCCAAAGAAAAATTATTAAAAAGAAAATGTAATTTGAGAGTAAATTTATATATAAAATATATAAAGTATATAATTACATGTTTGTAAATAAAATATATGAGTATATAAATAAATAAATAAATATATATATATATATATATATATATATATATATATATATATGTATACCTGTAGAGTAAAACTACATGATAAAAGACCTAGCAATAATATAAATTAAAGCACAATATGGTTGGAAACTGGGTTCTACCTTATGCAGGCTCTGGTCCTTCTATTAAGCTTGCAATAATATGACCTCTATATTACACAATTAAAATCAAAGACCCAACTTCCAAGGTAATTAGAATTTAACTCAGTGAAATTTCTTAAAAATTAGGAAGTGTAAAGAACAGGAAAATTATCTATAAGTCCTCTCTTCTTTTGGAAACTGAACTTCTCTAGATGAACAAAGATTACAATTCACTTACCTAAAAAACCCACTAGTATTGCAATCACTGTAATTATGAGCAATATGATTATGGATAAAACCAAGACTTGATTCAGAGTATTGGTAATAGAATGCTTCCTTGGATGCAGATTACCTGGAAAAAATATAATTGAAAATGTGTTTTTGTTTTTGTTTATATTAAATGCAGAATAGACATCAGACTAGTAGAACTAACCATCAAAATGCTACTTCCACTTCATTCCTTTCCACTAGAGGGGGCAATTGTCCTGTTATTTTGTGAATTTACAATTTTCGTTCTGGATTTAATTGTTCACAGAAATTAAAATTGATCTTAACATACAACCCATGAACAGCTTGGCACCCCTCCCAAAAACTAAACACAAATCTCATTAAAGGTCCAGATCCAGGTATCAATTTAATAGAAATACAAGAGATAGAGAATCACGTCAATTAAAAAACATTCTACGTAATTCTACGTAATTAATTATCTTGTATCTTAATGAAAAAAGTGAAAAGCAAATTTTAAAAAGCAATATGGGGGAATCTTTTGATTAAAATGGACTTAAAAGGCTTTTTTTTTTAAGTCAAAATTAAAGTGAGATAATGATTCTCCTAAAAGTCAATTTAGTTTGATTCAAGAGAATACCCGGTGGGCCTCTGAACTTGGTAGCAAGCTTCTTTGTCTGACAAAGACAGTATTTAATAAGGATGCTCAACTTAGAATAATTCATTAAGCTGTGTATTTGTTTTGTACAATTTTCTACATTTGCATTGTAGCTCAAAACATTCTGCATTATCTAAAAACTCTTGTAAATTTTTTAAGATTTTATTTATGTACTTATTTGATAGAGAGAGACACAGCTGAGAGAGGGAGCAGGGCGAGTGGGAGAGGGAGAAGCAGGCTTCCCACTGAGCAGGGAGACCCATGCAGGGCTTGATCTCAGAACCCTGGATCATGACCTGAGCCGAAGGCAGACGCTTAAGGACTGAGCCACCCAGGTACTCCTAAAACCTCTTGTAAATTTTAAAATAATGTAAAATTTAAATCATTGGAACTTCTGACTCCATCTCTTAGCTACCACACACTCTCTTAGCTACTTCATCTAGAGATGTTCTTGGCTAAACAGGCATATTTCTCTGTAACATTCTATCCACACTAGGGGCACCTGGGTGGCTCAGTTGGTTGGGTGACTGCCTTCAGCTCAGGTCCTGATCCTGGAGTCCTGGGATCGAGTCCTGCATCGGGCCCCCAGCTCCATGGGGAGTCTGCTTCTCCCTCTGACCTTCTACCCTCTCACCCTCTCTTTCACTCTCTTTCTCTCTCTCTCTCTAAAATAAACAAATAAAATCTTTAAAAATATATTCTATCCACACTAGAAAGCTTTTCATTAACGTTTACCAGATTGACCACTGGTTGATATACGTGCAGGAAAGATGTGAATAACCCTACAAAGAATCCAAAAAGTGAGCTGACTTTGGAATCTAAGCAAACAGAATGTCTGAATTTAGCCAGAGTAATTGCCTGCTAAAACCAAAAATTTAAATAAAGTCAAAAGTCTCACAACAAAATATTCATTCAAAATGTCCAGAATACAGTCCAAAATTACTCAGCATATGAATAACCATGAAAATTTCAACTTCCATGGGAAAAGACAATCAAGAGAAGCCAACGGTGAGATGACACAGATGTTGGAATTATCTGACATATACCTTAAAGCAGGTGTTGTAGAAATACTCATAATACCAAATGAATAAAGAAATAAATGAAGTCATTTAACAATAATTAGGAATCATCTTTTCCTCATCTTAAATGCCTTCTCTCTAAATTGATTACTACTTCTACCAAAGACAAAAATATTTTTTTCAGTCCTAAATTATGACACTTCAATTTTTCCCAACTGGTACCAAATACTTTTTTTTTCCACTTATTAAGTCATCATATAAAGCCTCAAATACAAGGTTTTTTTTTTTTTAAGATTTTATTTATTTACTTGACAGAAAGAGATCTCAAGCAAATACAAGTGTTTTTTTTTTTTTTAAAGTTTCAAGCTTTGGGGGCACCTAGGTGGCTCAGTGGGTTAAAGCCTCTGCCTTCAGCTTGGGTCATGGTCCCGGGGTCCTGGGATCAAGCCCTGCATCAGGCTCTCTGCTCGGTGGGGAGCTGCTTCCCCCATGCCCCCTGCCTGCTTCTCTGCCTACTTGTGATCTCTGTCTAATAAATAAATAAAATCTTAAAAGGTTTCAAGCTTCGTATAAATGCATAATATATATGATTACATATGTATATTTACATATTTTCTTTTTATTGTACAAAGTAAGATAATTCTATTTGAATGCTCTATTGCTTTTCCTTTGACTTCTGTTTATGTTTTTTATTTGTTAAACTCTTTATTTAACCTTTCCTTTTTAATTCTTTCTTTCCTATGAGATTTCATTATAGATTTTTTACCTTACTTATTTTTAAAGATATTATTTATTTAGTTATTTAAGAGAGTGAGTCCACGAGCTGGGAGAAGGGGCAGAGGGAAAGAGAGAAGCAGACTCTTTGCTGAACAGGGAGTTGGATGTGGCACTCAATCCCTCAGAATCCTGAGATCATGGCCTGAGCCAGGGCAGACACTTAACTGACTAAGCCACCCAGGCGTCCCCCTTTTTGCCTTATTTAATAATGATAATACCATGTGTCAATATAACACTTTCAACTATGTATTGCTCTTTTCAGTAAAATTATTTTTAATAATTAATAAGTGTATAATAAATTTATATTCATAATAATATGAATAAATATTTAAAATAATAACTAGAATTAATATTAATATTGTTGATAAAATAATGTTAATGAATAATTTATAATAAATAATGAATTTATTTAGTTAAGAAGAGAGAGACAGTCTTAAACAGACTCCATGCAGAAACTGGAGCCCAATGTGGGGCTCCATCTCATGACCCTGACACCATGACCTGAGCCAAAATCAAGAGTAGGGTGCTTAACCAACTGTACCGCCCAGGTGCCCCTCAGTAAAATTAATTTTATTAATGTTTATTAATTTTTAATTTCATAATGTAATGTTTAATTTAATATCTTGAATTTTAATATTTAACAGCTGGTTGATGGGTTATTAATAATATTAATATCAATAAAATAGTATGTGTTTCAGTGACATTAATTTTAAAATATTTATTCTCAATCATAAATTTAACCTGACCCCCATTCTCTTACAACTTTCTCTAATAGTTCTCTCTCCTTACTTGTTAGGACAAGTGCACTTAAGTAACTGAATAGTTTTACACAAATTATAAACTAATTTATAACCTTCAGCACTCCACCTCTCATCCTTGAAAAGTCCCTGTGCAGAAACTAGATCCCATCACTGCTATAATCTTACCACCTCAGTGCCCACATTCATGACATACAGTCCAGCTTCTTACTTGAGTCTGCCAACAATTCCACTGGTTCACAGTCTTTCTTCAATCGATTGCCGTCATGCATTTTGTGCTCAGTTTTTACAGGATAGCTCACTCAGTTGGCAATTTTATCTCCAGAATGTGACAAAAACGAGAAAAACTCACATTCTGGTTAGAACTTCCTCTAACTGAAGCTTTGGCTTTCGTTATACATGACTAAAAAGGAAATAGAAAGAAACGATGCCGAAAACCGCTTGCTACAGCAAATGCCTCTTCTGGTTCTCAGCATAAATTTGGTAACTCTCAACTTGTACATCGGCAGAAGTAAATATAAATTTTCAGGTTTATCCTATTTTGCATTTATTCATGATTTTGTTGTCAAAGAGGACAGAAAGTAAACCTTGATAAATTTCACATTATCTTGGAATTCCCACACAGATGACAGAACTAATAATGATACTTTTACTATTATTCTCATGGTGTGATAACATAAAACTATGGTTTATTGTCCCTTACCATGATACAGAAGTATGGATGAAAGACTTAAATATGTGTTCTCATTTAATTGGTCCAACTAAATAATGAGGCTAATATTACCACTTTTATTTTAAAATAAGCTTCTTGAGTAAAGACTAATTTGCCTTTAAGTTCACAGATACTGACAGACTACTTTGATTTAGAAATTATTCTAAATCATTTAGATTGATTTAGAAACTACTTTGAAAGTTTAAGACCCTACATAGTCAGTAACGGTCAAATGTTGATTCGCCTGACTCCTCTGACATTTATGAGTCAGTCATACACTCATAAAATCTCAGTTTCTATTCCTGAAACAGCTCCTCACTATGAGGAACAGAAACAGAAAATTTAGTTCTTACAGTCATGATGATATGTTAGCTGAATAAAACAGTGAGGCTGAAATGGCAGAAGGGCTCCAGTTGAAGGGAACTGTGTTCATCTATGCCCAAAGAGAACAGAACATGGAATGTAACTGAGAAACCTCCTGATATTTAAGATGGCTGGAATACAAACTGTGAAGGGTGAAATGTGAGAAAATAACTTTCTAATTAACTCTATATTAAACTGTGAATTTCATGACTTCTAAGCCCTAAGATCCTATTCACTTTCTTATGAAACCCTGTGCTGACACCATACTTAAGATACACTGGCATGTTTTTTACATGATGAAAGGACAAAGGACACAGAGAGCTATTTTAATTTCACTTAGGAAAAGGATTTTTCCTTTTCTGAAACAAGATTTTTTTTTTTTAATTAGGCATATATTTAAGAGACAGAAATAAGTGACTAATTATCTGTGAAAATAAAAAAGTCCCTTCAGGGCTATTACTAGTCAATAGAAGGAACTACTCCAAGTGAGTAATGTAAAAGTAATTTTAGGGACACCTGGGTAGCTAAGTTATTAAGCATCTGCCTTCAGCTCTGGTCATGATCCCGGGGTCCTGGGATTGAGTCCCATGTCAGACTCCTTGCTCAGCAGGGAGCCTGCTTCTCCCTCTCCCACACCCCTGCTTGTGTTCCCTCTCTCACTGTGTCTCCTCTCTCTGTCAAAAAAATAAATAAAATCTTTTTTAAAAATAAATAAATAAAATAAAAGTAATCTTACCAGATTTTGTTTTGTTGAAACACATCACTGGTAAAAAAAAAAATTATACAAAACAGCAAAATCTCATGAAAATTATTTAGTCTTACTTGACCTTTGCCCCACTTTTCTTGGTCTTTCTTCTAGTTTCAGATAACACCATTTCCCTCAAGGGCAGAACACTGGCCAGAGATTTTTCTGATAGTCCAGTGCCTACGTTTAAATACTTTGAATATCAATGTTTCTTCATTGATATGTAGGAGAAATGGTGTGTTTCATCCTAGTGCATTATGCTAGGCTCTGAGAGGAGTGAGGGAAGCCTGCTAGGCAAAGCAACTATTGTTAAGTAGCTCAGCAAAGGAAGTACCCTCTTCAGGAAGCAAACACACTGAGCATAAGTAGTCAATGATGAATTGCAATTGGACTGAAAAATGACTGTGCACAGGACCAGCTACACAGACATGCTGTCTGTCCAGCAGCAGATCTCCATGCTCAAAAGGGCTTCCCACTTGTTTAATATGCTGCCATCAATGTCTTCAAATTATTACTACTTTTTAAACAAGACACTCTGTGTTTTTATTTTGCACTTCACCCTACAAATTATGTAGTGGGTCCTGACTCTGTGTGCATGAAAGAGGTGAATTAGTTTTGACTTCACCTAACAGAGCTTTCATTTTTTACTTAAATGGGTTTATTAAATTTTCAGATTATTATAGAGTCATATGTGGTTATGAGAAATCTTACAGAAAGAACCCATGTTCCCTTTAGCCAGTTTCCCTGAGAATAACATTTTAAAAAACTACAGTATGTTTGGTTTCCATGTCTTTGCTTAGTAAAAATCTCACAAACATTAAATCACCAACCTCATACAGTATTTATATATACACATTCACACATATAGAAAAGGAAATTGTGCCAACCCTAAAATAAAATTGAATCAAGAAGAATGCATTAAAATTGATTAATTAATTAACTAACCAATTAATTAAAGCTACAGTATGATATCACAGCCAAGATAATGACATTGACACCGTCAGCATACAGAACCGTTCCATTACCACATGGTTCCATCAGCAGGGCTTAACACCAGAAACTTTAAAAATCAGCAGGCTTGGCTCTGAGAGAGCCTGAGGGTGATGAGAAACTGAGTCCCAACCCTTAAAGAAACAGTATAACAAACAAGCCTGCCTAAGTATAGCATAAAAGCAGCAGTTTGAAGAGCATATGGGGTACACAGGAAGATGTATTTCTTTTTTTTTTTTAAAGATTTTATTTATTTGACAGAGAGAGAGAGAGATCACAAGTAGGCAGAGAGGCAGGCAGAGAGAGGGGGGGAAGCAAGCTCCCTGCTGAGCAGACAGCCCAACGTGGGGCTCAATCCCAGGACTCTGAGATCATGACCCGAGTTGAAGGCAGAGGCTTTAACCCACTGAGCCACCCAGGCGCCCCAGGAAGATGTATTTCTTAGTCTCAAAGCATACACAAGAGGGGCAGATACCTTTGGGAGACTTCTCCAATAACAAAGGAGCTGGGTGGTGCCATTTCTCTCCCCTGCCCACTAGCCTATATACACAGATACCTATGGGAATCGGTCCAAACACTCTCTACCTAGCTTTGCTAACAGTGTGCCCTGTCCCTGCATTCTCTCGCAAACTGCACCATCCAACCATCCCAATTCAGCAGAGTCCCTCTAAAGTGGCTGCTGGTCTTATCCTGCAAACATCCTCAACAATGACCAGCACCACTCCACAGTGACCTGCCCTGAGAAGAGGGTAAGATAACCACACACACCGGTATGACTATAGCCCCAGAAATGGGCTGAGGGCAGGCATCTAGTCCGACCCAACACCAGCCCAAGGTGGCCTAAGACTAGCCTCTTAACAGCACAGGGACCAAACTCTGCCTATAATAGACAAAGAGAGCATTGCAGACAACTGGAATGAAAGCAAAAACATCTCAACCACAACAGTAGGGCATATACAACACACTTAGGAGACACCCCTGACACACCAAGTTCTGATGCACAAGGAACATTGCACTACAGGGCATTACTGAAGCTCTTCTTCATAAGCCCACTATTTTTAAGAGCAGATGATATAGTCAACTTTCCTAACACATAGAAACAGACACAGAGAAATAGACAAAATGAGGAGACAGGGGAATGTGTCCCATATGAAAGAACAGGGCATAATCACAGAAAGAAAAAAAAAAAACTAAGCAAAACAAAGATAAGCAATATGCCAGATAAAGAATTCAAAAGGTTGGTCCTAAAGATACTCACTAGACTTGAGAAAAGAGCAAAAGAGCCAATGAGACCATCAACAAAGAGACAGAAAAGTCAAAAAGAACCAGACAGAGATAAAGAACTCAATAACTAAAATTAAAAATACCCTAAAGGGAAAAATGTACACTAGAGAGAGCAGAAGAACATATCAAGGAGCTGGAAGATAAAGTAATGGGAATGTATCAAGCTGAACAAGGAAAAGAGAAAAGTAATAAAAAATATGAATGTGTTAAGAAAACTCAGCAAAGTCATCAAGCATAATAACATTTGCATTATAGAGATCCCAAAAGGAGAAAAGAGGCAGAAAATTTAATTGAAGAAATAATAGCTGAAAACCTCCCTAATCTGGAGAAGGAAACAGAAACCCAGATCCGGGAAGTACAAGAAAGCCTAAGAAAAATCAAAAGGATGTCCATACCAAGACACGCAATAATTAAAATGGCAAAAAGTAGTGACAGAGAATTTTTAAAGCAGTGAGAGAAAGGAAAACATGTCAGTGGTTATAGTGCTGATGGGATACAAGGAGATAAATTAGCAGAGCAAAGAGGATTTTCAGGCCAGTGAAAATCCTCAGTTTGATATTATAGTTATGGATAGATGTCTTTATACTTCTGTCCAAATTCATAGAATGCAGAACACCAAGAATGAAACCCTAAGGTAAACTACGGACTTCGGGTGATTAGCCTGTGTCAATGCAGGTTCCTCCTTGGTGTTTTATTCCATTAGGGTGAGTGCTGCTGATAATGAGGCTATGCATGTGTGGGGTTGGGGGTGTATGGAACATCTCTGCACCATGCTCCCAAAACTTCTCTAAAAAAATAAAATCCTTTTTTTTTAAAAGATTTTGTTTATTTATTTGACAGAGATCACAAGTAGACAGAGAGGCAGGCAGGAAGAGCGGGGGAAGCAGGTTCCCCACTGGGCAGAGAGCCCGATGTGGGGCTCAATCCCAGGACCCTGAGATCATGACCTGAGCCAAAAGCAGAGGCTTAACCCACTGAGCCACCCAGGTGCCCCTAAAATCCTTTTTTAAAAAAGTCATTGCACCCATTTTCTAATTGGATTTTATTGTTGAGTTTTAACAGTCTTTTATATATTCTAGATACTAGTATTTTGTCAGGCATCTGGTATACACATTTTCTCCCAGCCCAGCTTTTCATTTTCTTAAAAGGGTATTATGCAGAATAAAGATTTTTAGTTTAAATTAATCCAGTTTATCAGTTTTTCCTTTTATGAATCATGCTTTTGGTGTCAAACTAAGATTCACTGTACAGCTCTATATCCAAAACTATTCCATGTTTTTTTTCCCAAAGGTTTTCTTGTTTTATATTATAGATTTAAGCCTATG